ATTTCGGATACAAAATCGAGAATTCTTAGTAATCAAGTGAAATAAACTATTTTTTCATCAAAGGTATCAAACAAAGGTCATGGTTTTATAATACCAGTCAGCATTTTGTTATTTGGATTCAAACGGTAGTTCATTCTGATTAACGTCACGTTATGAACTATTCATCAAGAGTGTTTAACGCCAAGGTTCCAATTCCCGAGTCAAATGCATTTGTACAGCTGTCACGCAAGCAACGTCCAAAGCTATCGTCAAATTCCTTCTCCAGGAATTGTTCCATTGAAACCTACAACATATGTAACAAACTTTCAGGAGTTAATTTCTAAGAATAACGGATCCAAACTTGACACCAAAGAGACTTTGGAAAACAAAAACACGTAATAGAGAATATATATAGGATTCTTGCTGTAGATTTCCTTTAACTAAGCAAAAAACAAACAAATGCTTTTTTTGATATCATATTTGTATAAAATGGTAGTACATCAACAAATTGTTATCAATCTTCCCTAACCTGATAAAAAAGATTAATGAGAAACGATATTCTCTTTAATGAGCTATTGATCACAGTGTGAAGCAATATCGTGCACTGATACTTTCTTCAAGAGGGAAACAGACATGTTTCAGGTTACCGAACTCTGGGACAACAGACGATTGTGGTAAGACAAACACTGATTCTAGTTTACAACAAATCTCCTAACAATTGGTCTGTCCGTCAACGCTGACGATCATCACCCAGTCAAAGGCATAGCCAGACACAAACAGAGAAAGGTCTACTTTTTATCCCGGGGGTGATGAGCAGTCTGACAGGACCCGTCTACCAGACTTCATCACAGACGGCCTTCAAGACCTGTACTTTGAGATCATTAACTCGTATTATATAATTGAATCTTACCGCGTAATGAGCATGGTAATTATCATCAATTACACCATTTTGACCTCCCGATGTCCTTCCATCACGAACGTCCTGACTAGAATAGGATACAACTTGCGTTTTGATCAGTTATTTTATCAGTTACATATCAAAGATATCAAACCATTAAGTCATAAGGTCACCTTGAGTGTTAAATAACAACCTTTCCTGTTATGTTAAATGAAACTCAAATTCATACGCTTAATCGATGTCACAGTTTAACAGTGCCAAGCGCGGGCTACTGAAATGAATTTTTGTTTAACTCCTGTAGAAAATGTTATTCCTATGAGTATATATATTTACGGCGTTAATATGAAACGTCTTTTAGGGTGGAATATACTTAAAAAACAAACAAATACTGGTAGTGGCAATATCACGTGGTGATTAATTTGACACAACAGTGTTGACGGGTACGACAAAAAAGTATTACAAATCGATCAAATCATATTAAGGGGCGTAACTTCCAAACAAATTCTTACATGAGTACTTCATACATGTAAACAATGCCAACTTTATAAAGGAAATCATGATAACCCGAATCACGCCCCTTTGTCGTCTAAATCATTTTCAAACCCAAGCGATTTTCAAATGAAACCGAGACTATTGGCTACTTGCATTCTCACTTTATTTGAAATTGAATGTTAGCATATTTTGTTACAGGTACCGCACACGACTGATTAAACTCTACCTTGATGATTTAGAGAGGAAACGCGAGATACATATCAATATTTTGATAGCCCATCCATACAGTTTATACTGCGTGATAGCAGCTAACACAGGATTGCATTCACAACTGCTATGTGAACAAGCTGGATTTCTCATATCTACATTTAGAATCTGTTGCCATTTAGAACACCTCGGACGACGAGGATGGTGTTTCTCTCTCCCATTTAATTCAGAGAGTATGCGTGATGTTCCCAAGATCTGCGATCTGGACGAATATGTCCCATATTTGAACTTCATGTGGGCTTTGACGAGGCGATAATCGCTGTGATCAACAATTATTCTGTTAACGACGTAGATGATGAACCAGTAGGTGAAAACAGCTGTAACTTCAAACTGTTGTGAACTTTTTCAACTCTGCGCAACTGCAAATTCAACAAGTATTGTTCAGTAGCTGTCGGCATTCGAGTCATATTTCGAAAAAAATAAGTGAAAACACAAACCAAGATCACAGACTGATTTCAGAAAATATGAAAATGTACATTTAGTTTCTTCTTCGTCGTTTGAAATAAATTGGTCCACGTTTCTGTAACATGTAATGTGTCGATCTTTGAATATGTGTTGATATATAGGTACATGTATTTAATAGTCCTAGTCATAAATCGGAGTCGCAACTGCGGCATGACCGTTAGTTAGAAATCAGTCAACAAGAGTATTTACTTTCACTAACTCTATAATAATTTAGCTTAAAGCGAACAATTTCTCCGGGTCCTTTTTAAATTCGATACAAAAAGGTTTTACTGTAGCATATACATCGTTAGGCTGGTTGGATTGATAATTTCTGATGCAACAAAGGTTCATCGAAAGGATCAGTTCTTGTTCCATTTCTGTTTTATTTTGTACATACACATGATCACTCTAACGTTAGACAACAACGTACAGATGTATAATTGTAGGAAAATTACTAAAGATGGCCATTTCAATCTTATTCCTCTGAAAACATCGCCAGAACACTGACGTTTGTCTACGATAGGAAGATCCATGGAGATGGAAACCCTGTAACTGATGAAGTATTTTGCTTTTAACGATACTTAAAGTATAGTAAGGTATATTTTCAAGAAAATGCATTTCATTTCGTCTCTATGTCAAGCTTCTAAACTGAAAACATATATTTATTCAGTTACCGAAATTTACAATGTCATGTAATTATACAGTAAGTGGCCATTTGCGATGTTCCTTATTCACTCCTAGTTTTCAACATTTCAGGACCCCAGCATCACTGGAAGACCGAAACAGCTGAGTGACGCTAATTTCTTTTTTTTTTCAGCATGAGCTCTTTTTTATTTTATTCACCATTCATCTGTGTGTCTTTTGTAAAGTTAATTTGCTATAAACTCTGTATGTGACGAGATCTGATGGCGCACATCTATGTCACCAAACTCTGTATGTGACGAGCTCTGATGGCGCACATCTATGTCACCAAACTCTGTATGTGACGAGCTCTGATGGCGCACATCTATGTCACCAAACTCTGTATGTGACGAGCTCTGATGGCGCACATCTATGTCACCAAACTCTGTATGTGACGAGCTCTGATGGCGCACATCTATGTCACCAAACTCTGTATGTGACGAGCTCTGATGGCGCACATCTATGTCACCAAGATTTACCCTAATCACAAATGCATACTAGACAGAAAAAAAATCCTGTTATACAGAAATTATTTTTGAGAGTTTAAGTTCTAACTCCTTTTCTGGTTTCCGAAAGTTTGACCATAGCATCTCAGAAAGGTGCTTGGGGACGAAACAGCTCAACGGTGCTTTTATATATTTAATCCATAAGCTGAAATATACAATAACAGCAAAGTAGATAGGTGTCCGAGTATCATCAGTGGATTAAAACTACTTTAAAGTCCCTTCAAAAGATACATTGTTTCGTCTCATATGGCATTGTCACCTATCAGTGTAGGTGTCTGGTACTTTTGTTATTGCCAGGTTAACAGATTAATTGAAACAATATAGCGTTCATGTTTAACTCGAAGTGTCTCAACGAAAAAATCGATATAGTCTCAATAGATCTTATAGTAATTTTTCATTCTGCCAATCCGGATTCTATTATTTTAATCCCTCTTACGATATATGTCAGCTTACATATGTATCTCCTAGGTGTGAATTTAGACCGTGAAATGGCACAAAACGTGTGTCGAACTGACGGTGAATCACAAATACATTTTGGCAAAACGGATGGACTAAGAACGACAACTCTCACTACCTGTACCTAGACGTTTACGGTTGTATCATCTGTCATTGAAAGTCGTCGTAGTCTGTTTATTTATATGTTCATAGAAATAAATACCTTCACTTGACTCTACCAAATAGGAAAATTGGGCTTTATATTGATTGATATACTTTCATATTGGTATACCTTTATATCACCGCATTTGGTTTTGAGTTAGTTTGGACATTAAGCCTTCAAAGACTTCACATCAAAAATCATCAAAATAACGAATAACATTTATATATCAAACTATGACTGAGGTTTTAAACCAAAATCTTATTTATTTATTCATTACAATGTTCCCTTCATTTAGGAAATCGCAATATTTACAGTAATTTCATTTCATTAATTTAAAGCAGTTACTCATGGCAGCAATTGGGACCACTGGCAGAGAAAGGCGCAGGACGATCCAAAGTCTGAGCCAAGCTGCAGAGCGTGCGTCTAGCTGGTTGTGTCTACGACGCGAGGAGAAGTGCTGGAAGCTATCGACCTCCACACCGTAGAACGTTGGGGCCACTCGCTATCAGATATACATGGATAAGGCCCGAAATAGCACCATGCTGATGATGGAGGGCGATGAGCAGACTACTGACGACAACCCACGACGAATTCAGGGTCTCTGGCCGGCGGTACCCTGGGGCACGCTCAAAGGGCCTGGGGAAACTGGTTAGGGACAGAAGAAACGTCACAGACTCAGTAGCATGTCTCTCACTTATAACAGTATATGACATTTTAGAAAAAAAACCATCTTCTTAATTCTAATGTGTTTTCCTGTTACATGGTACTTTCCATTCTGGGCGGCGTCATGTTATACTTTATCCGTTATACGCCATGTTGTATGCTTTCGGGATTTTTTTAAACGTGTCAGTAGAATATCGTTTCAATACACATGATCGTTGTTTCCCTCAAGAAGTATTTACCTTTCCGATTTGCATCCACTTAAGTCATGTGAAGTACTTATGTTTCCGTTCGATAAGACCAGCGCCGGCGACGTTCAGAAAATTTACAGTGACGTCACAGTATTGATGACGTCACAAACACAATTACATCATAATTGCAATACCCATACTTCTTTCATAGTTACGCCCTAGGCTTAGATGTCGGGCGCATTTTTGATACTGCAAAGAGATAATTTTCTATAATGACTGATATGATGGGTGAAGCAGGTTTAAACGAAGTGAACATGTTGTCGTCCTATGAGGAATCACCTAAACTACAACGTCTCAAGAGGACTATGAAGGATAAATGCTTGGTGATAGGAGAAACAACAATGTACTACGGAAATTTCGGATCCGTCCAAGTCATGACTCCCATTCCGGGATCCCCGAATCTAGACAATGAATCAGAAATAGCCAACATTCCCAAAGATTACCGCAACCGCCCAACGGAAGCCGATGTTCCGCCCCAACAGCCCGAGCTCCAAGGTAAACAGTAAAATATTATTCTTAAATAATTCAAATTTGTCAATATAAAAACAAGCATCTTCTACATATATTCGCTAGAACATATCAATGATATTGACCTATCTTTATATTTAACAGCTATTTTGAAGAAAGAAAAGAAACTGGCTTCGGAAAGAAGAAAGAATACGACGGTAGACAAAAAGAAAGCTCCGAAGTATGCGTTGCCACCATTAAAAGCTCCGTCCGGTGCCACGAATAGTCGAGGTCCACAGCGGGCGTCAAAGGGAAGAACGCCGTGCCATTTCCAACCTACAAATTACACTAACTACATAGACAATACCTATTTCCTAGGATCATCAGAGGCTTGGATTCCACAACCAGGCTTCAAACCAAGCGACAAGAAAATTATGCCAAAAAACAATTTTACATCAAAGTCTTCAAGCTTGAAAAATGGATCTCTTAGTAAACTAATTGAATCGACAAAGAGAGTACAGGGTCCATCTTCGCTAGAAACTTCTTCATCTGCCAGTTTCCACCTTCCTGCTATTCATGGAACCAGCACATCAGTAGCCTCACAGACCTCCCCACAAGCTATTAAGTACATCAACATTTACAAGGACGACGGTCATCTGCCTCCGCTAAAGGTTAGCACGATGTCAATTGCCAACAGACGAATTGAAAAGGAACATTACAAAGTCACAAAGAGTTTCCAATGGTAGATGGCTGACTCCAAACATTCGAGGCCTATACAACATGCTCAGCTGCATAGAACACGCTTTGAAAAAAATTGAAACTAATAATCTTAGTATTTCATCTGGAATTTCAACTGATAATCCACCAGGAGCAGCATAGATATATGCAAAGTTAAACAATCCACATGCGATGAAGTAAAAAAAAAAAGCGAACTTTCCGGGTTTAAACAATTGGACGATTCGATCTCGAGTCATAATCCGACGAAGCGTATGCTGCCTTCCATCATAAATCCGGGAAGAGAAAAACGCCCCAGCTTTCTACATGTTATATGACCTCTATACAATGAATGTTTATTCTACTTTAAAACGATAAAATATTATTGCAGTAAAGACAGGCTCTCGGAATGTATTACACATTTAACATAGCTCTGGAAGTAAGCTGGTTCGTTACTAGTTGTGAAGATATCTTGGACATTATTCGTGAGCATACAAAATAATCATCATCAGAAAAATGAATTCCTGACTTATTCAGAAGGCGAGAAGTAGAGCAAATGGACCGTTTCTCTTTGTTCTGGGATAGAAATAGAAAGGGACCAACATGTGTACATATATGTATATTGTAGAGAGTCAAGTGAGTTATCCCCTGAATGGAAGACACAAGGACACATAGGTGTCGAGTCTGTGACGTCAGTAATATGGCAACACTGTAAAATCATGCAATGAAAGTACATAATTTTTTATTGATCTAAAATCACAATAAAAGTTTTGATTTGAAAAACATAACTCAGATTTTGTTTTAATTGCATACTTTACAATCGTATCTATGATATATAACAAATAATACCATACTTAACTGTATTAAAAACACGTTTCGGTGTGGAAGTGATGATTTAAATACAAAACATCATTTCAATTGCTGATGTAGTTACAAAATACTGGACGCATATATGTATCTTATGGCAAATAATATCGAAACACGCTGTTTGGTGACGGACAACATCGATAACATGTTACCATGAACAAAGTTTTATTTATCTTATTTATTTATCTAAATTTATTTATTTATTCCTTAATACGGAGTACATGTATTTGTATGCCTTTTTATGGATTTACAATTATTGAATACTTGTTTTTTTATTTATTTTTATTTTTTTGCGTGTGCATTATATATAAAGTATTTCTTAAATAATGGTAATTTACCTCTACTACGCCCCCTAAAATCCAGTGTATGGTGATAATTCAAGTATTCATACATAAAATAAATACTTATACTGCAATTGCATCCATTATCTACCTATCTTCAAATACAGAATTCAAAATCACCAGAAACAAAAACAAAACAGAACTACACAAAATATGCGAGAGGAACTTTTGTCCTTTCAAAAGTAGAAAGTAATTAAACTGATAAGACTCCATGAACAGTCTTTCACACTAAAGGCGAACACATGTATAATGTGCATACGCCGTAATTTCATTCTGTATATTACAGCTCATAATTAGCAATTCTTTATCGTCCCGTAAACATCCAGGGTCAAGGTGAGGCTAGGTCCCCACGCAGTAGTTGTTTACTACTATACCTCATTGAACAACGTGCAGAAGGACCGCCGCATGCTATCCATATCAATTGATGAAAAGTACGCGTATGTTGTTCAGGGATATATCCATGACATGAGCGATGCATAAAGTCAGCACTTAATAGAAAATGACACCGAAAGTTTCATTAAAAGTGACCTAAACATCGACGTGTTGGATTAAGAAAGTTACCCTCCTCTCTTCATCCCTACCATATTCCTATCCTCACATCCTTTATGAATAAATTGTGTAGAAATATGTTAACAAGCTTTCGAGTTGTAGCACGAAAAATGTGTTGAATAAATAGGAATGAATGGTTACTTGGATGGAGCCCGCTTTAATGTTTACCGGAGTGGAAATGGATTAAAGATGGCTTAGACTCTAAGTATACATGGTAAATTTTACAAATCAACATTGAATTTTTTTATCATATTCTGACTGTTATCCATCTGATAAATATTAGTTTTAACCCTTTTAACTCTGATCTCTGTCAATTAAAGCCAGCAACAAAGCTCTCTCCGTGTAATGAGAGATAACTCATTGTTTGCAAACTGTACTCCATCAGTTAAAATAATTCAGACAAACTTACTACCGTATGGGAGATAAAACGAATTCTGTCTTGACATCATACTGTTTGTACTTATCAGGCAAAGTTGCTATATTTTGAAAAAAAAATAGCCCAGTTGTTTGTATATTTGAATTAAGACAATATCCACCTGTCACGGTCTTATTTTTCGTTCGATTTACAATGGATGTCTACACAATATGTCATATAAGTCTCAAGGGAGGTAACTCTTCAATCCAAACACAGAAAATACTTTTGTTTCATATTTGGGTTAAAACAATTATAGCAAATAGCAATACCCTCTTATTTGTGACAAGTCAGTGGAAGGTGAGTTACTTCGTTTTCCTCCTTCAGAATTTAGACTAGTAATAATTCGACTGGGACATATCGTGCCCCAAACAATTTTTTGACTGCCTCTCGTGTAATGTTTAGATGAAACAACATGTTTTGGATCATCCAAGAATACACGAATAGAAGTGTATGGGTATATGATTATCTACCACAATGTGTTTTAGGGATAATTTACAATATCGTCGATTGCTTACCTTGTAACAAGACTTTCTTTTGTTAAATTCTCTGAATAGATTATATCAGAACCATGGACAGTCTCACCGGGAAAAAAAAACCCAGAGGTTATGAGAAGTCCTAAACGATGCAAATGTTTAATGTCCTGATGTTTTTTTTGTATACGGACTTATATATATATATATTATTTTGATAGGAATATATATATACATGGCCGCGAGGCCTGAAAACGTTAGTGATATATTTGTTTGTCATATTAAGTGATTTATTTTCTCTGTTTATACGATACACAAAGTTTTTATCTTTTTAAATTATATATATATATATTCCTATCATAATTATTGATATATTTTTCACATAATTTACGGCTCGAAACAGGGGGAAAAGAATCAAAGATACGACTAATGTTTTGACAGTTCAGTTGAAAATATACATACATAGCCGTCTTTTTATTTGATTTTAATCCATTATCAGTGAACAAGACATACATATGTATTACAGCATTCCAAAGAAATCGCTCGTAAAATTCTCTCGTATTGGGGGAAATTATTAGTGTTTATAAGCGTATATTCTCCATCAGTCCATTTTCTTCTTTAAGACGAACGGTACATCAGAGTTACTTCCCCTCGATACACTAGAACACCCGACGTAGTGATGATGTCCTTCACATCTCGTCGAGTTACAACCAGGAAAATGACCATTGACTGTCCTGTTCGGGAAAAAATAAATATTTTATATATCTGTTTATAATAAGTATAAAAATGTTGATTACATATTAAGAAACATTAAAAGCGAGCTTTACAGACGATTCTACAAAATTATACACTGTGAAGTATATAATCGAAAAAAAAACCCCACTCCGCTAACATATACTGTACTGTCCATCTCTATAAATATGTAAACAGTTATTCATTTGGGTATTCTGATAAACAACAAAAAGAATGCTACTGGAAGAATATATCAAACATGTAACAAATTGAAGGTGGTTTTATATTGTACAATGGCCCTTTTACAGTCCGATGCACATCATTGTGTTCTTAACCTATTGACCTATAAACTGTTCCCCTTTTCCGCTCTATGAATGCAAACTGTGGATGCTTTTAAATACTGAACTATTTTAATGCAAGGATGACCAAATTTATTGCAAAGTCAATCCACAGTTTTAGAGAAAATAAAGACACTATTAGAACAAACACACGCTTCTGGTGAAATCTTATCCGTGTTTCTTACTTGTTGTAGGGGATTTCTATCTCAGGTCGGAAAGAGGTGTAGTAACCGGAAGGAGTGAATCCATTGTATTGACTCCGGGCTAAATGGTAGTACATCAAATCGTTAAAGCCGAATGTTCTTCTCCAATCCGGAGGATGAAAAGTCTTCGTATTGCGCATGTCTTTCCGCCACTTGGCTCGACGATTTTGAAACCAAACCTAAAAATCGAGTTAATAATACATGTATATATGAAATACTTCGTTCAGTAAAAAAATTACACAGCAAGAAAACTTCACCTTTTTACATCAGGAAACACAAAGTCGGAAAAGAGCACATCTGTTACTTATCTGTAGTATTTCGGATTAAGTTTTCAAAGATATCCATCTCTACTAGAACGACGACTATTAAAATCTTATTTGCTGACGAAGCTGTTAAACCTAACTCCGACCATGCAAAAGGATCTCGGTTTTCGTCTTTTCCAGGAAATATCCTTGGGTTGCCTATTTACTTCTGTAATTGTTACTGTTAATATAATTGTTATGTAGTTATGTTGGGTATATTTTTCATAACCAATCTGCTATACGTGTCTCAAACATGACCTATAATTTCAGGGAAAACAATGGAAATTAACTGTTTCCTACTACCGAAACCCACCAAAATGTAAACTCTGACGAGTCTAGGGACAATCCGTATATTGTGGCCGTTGTAAATATGCTGGAAGTAAACAGTTGTTTCGAAATGAGTGAAAATATTTAGTTTACAACATTTTATTGCTTGATTGACACATATGCACGTAAGTACAAACGTGTTTTATCTTTCCATCGATGTATGATTATAATTATCACACTGTTGTAAACTAAATAAAAATTGCCTGGATTGCGACCCATTTCTTAACATTATTTATATTACAGCTATTGCGAAACAAGTTCTTCCAACTTATATCAATCACTCGTTTGCCCGGATGGCAGCGCACGAGGAGTCTTGTGGAAGGAAAACGGAGTACCTGGGGAAAGCCACGTGGTCGGGCAGGTGACCCCATACATTTTCACGTCCGTTCTGGGTACTAAACCCAGGACGTCTAGGTGAAAGACGAGTGCGTTAGCACCAAAATAAACATCTACTAAAGGTTATGGAACTACTTTATACTTAAAACAATAATACAAGTCATCCTGCCTAAGAATTTGCTGGAGGTGATGAGATTTTTTGGTATTGAAAAGTTTTGCTTATTGTATGCAGAAAAGTTATATTGTAAACATCACTCTTCCAATCGTTGTTTAATTACCTGTATTCGTGCCTCACAAAGATTTATTTTGGATGCCAGCTGCTCACGGACGAATATATCCGGATAATGGGACTTTGAGAAGAGAGACTCCATCTTGTCTAATTGGTACGGTGTAAAGGTGGTTCTTTGTCGTCTCTGTGGGAGGAAAGTAAACCGGTATAAGTCCTACCTATATGTATGCCCTTAGCTACACCAAAATTCTATTCTATATATTTACATAAAAAGGTTTTATTAGTAGTATTATCTTATTGTTCACTCTACGGGTTTCAAGGTTAACGTTTACATCAAAATATGGCATTTTTGGTTTAATTTAGCACACCACGAAACGTGTGAGCAACATTGGTCCTCCTCGATACTCCATAGGCTATACTCACTATTGTTCTCTGCGCCTCTAGAATATTTCGTTGCAAAATGCCATGTGCAACACCTTGTGTATAATATAAGATGACCAATTGATCCTGTGATATACATCAAATGAATCTCGAGGTCGTTTAACGGTATGTTGTAAGGGCTTTGAAGGCTGTGGCTGGTAAGACCAATTAAATGACTTCGCTTCAATTTTGCCATGAAATTTCCAGGGGTGCAAAGAGTGATAGTTATTGTAACCCCTGGAGTATCGAGGATAGGAGATATCGGTGTATGAAAACAAACACAGTATTTAGGCAGGACAAGTGCTGAAAGTTGCCTCAAACAGACGTTATATCACGCTGTCATGAGAATGTGCCATTGCCAAAACTATACGTTTGAATCAACTTATATGTGGAATCTCTTCTATCTCATTCTGAACAAAACTTCCGATGTCACTATAAGCTCTCTAAAGCATAAACAGCTTGCTGTCAGTTCACAAAGGTGTCTCAGTTGCAAAAACAAAAGTTTAAATACGATAACAAGTACGATATATTTTCTTGTCAAATCGATGAGGAGAGTAGACACGGATGTGGCGTTTTTACTGGTCTATACAATGAATCGGTTAAGTTAATGATATATACTTTGTATGCTACTAGTACAGAGCGAGTCTTCAGAACTATTTTTGGTTACCGTAACAATCAAATGCCGCAGCTTGCAGCTTAACGTAGTTGTACGTATGCTTCAATTTCTGTTATTTGACAATTATCAAAAAATGGCTACAATAAAGAGAAAATATTGTGAATATATAGACTGAACAACATTTTGATTACATTTATAAAGTGATAAAGTCAGTGAGATACATATATATCATAAAAGTAGTGCTGACGTCGTACCTAAAATATGTGCATGATGTACTAGTGTTCACAGAACTTGTGACATACAAATACAACAATAAGCAACCAAGTGTGTTTTTGTACCTACACACTAGGGACAGCAATTTCTCAAATGTAACTTTACCTGTCGCCGTATGGTGTAGTTATCCATAGTAATTGAGCCGATGATAGAATCCTCATACTCAGCGGGTTTGATTTCATCATTCGTACAGTTGGGTTTCTCTATAGCACTATTGGTCACTCTACCAATATCACCATCTTTCTCACTTCTGTCTTCGTTCCTTTCGCCATGGCGACACATGCTGTTAGTGGAAACAACGAAATGATAACTTTCAAATGAATAATTTATATCAAAACTACACCTTAGACGGCTTTAGCATAATTCGATAACTGAATATCACGTCCATTTATGAAAACTGAACAGAGAACAGTTATTTACGATGCCATACACAGTCAAGTGTCCCACTTTGTGACGATATCAAATTGTGTAAAACTGGTAACGCCTATAATGTTTGTTGTACAAATGTAGGTATGATATAAACATACACGAATCTATGAATTTTGCAGAAAAAGGCCATAGTAAGGATGTCATGTGAAATACATTGGATTACTCCTTATGAAAATCCCCATTATAACGTGAACTATAATATGTAACAGATGACAACCAGAATATCCGGCGATATCATTTACTGTGGCTTAACTATATAATCAATAAAGTCTTCTTTGTATGATATCTGTGTTTATCACTCCGTGCCCCACCCGTCGTCCTCGACATAACGGAAGACTCTTACCCTTCCGGAACACCTGGTCTTTTTCCATTTATAATTTCTTGTGTTGATAATTTACCATAGTTTTATCAAATTTGCGTTTGAATTTAGATTATGTTGACATATAGTTATTGTCTAGGTTGTTTTATTCTAATCTACCATTATTGTTACATATTTTCAAGCAATTCCCTAGATAATAATATTTCAACCAAGCAATGACTGGAACACTTTTATTTGCTATTGAAAGCAATTATGTTACAAAAGAAGAATACATAATCACTTAAATGGCTGTTTTGTACAGATTAGTGTTGTCTCACCTGTGCATTGCTATAGTTCGGCAGAAGACGTCAAATTCTCCAAAAACACACATATATGACCAGTCGCCTGTATGAAATGATGACAATTTATCTTGCCAGTTTCATATATATTGTGATTTTTTCTTAATTTCCTTCGCAATAACATAAAGAATGACATTTCATGAAAATTATATGGCATCTTCTTCTTTCATATAAAGGATTTTATATCAAGTAAAATTACCAGTTAGTGCTGATGCTCACACCGCGGGTAGCGTATTCATGTCTGTCTCTCTCAAATATGAGTGTCGAAATTACAGAGGTATTATCATCTAACCATGTTTTGTATTTATTTAAGGCAATATCGCGAGGGTTGATGCATCTTTCCCCGGCAATAAAATGTCTCTAATTGAAATAGTAATTTCTTAGTATATCCAATTTCTAGATATTAAATGCCGTTTTTACGGCATTGATTCAAATGTCTTGGAAAATGATTTAAGACGCTCTTATTGGAAAAGAAAGTATTCCTATTTACGAGGAATAACAAATATCCGATTTGCTTTAAAGGATTGCACAATGATATCTTTAAAATATGAAGAAAGTAATTATACATATATAAAGATAATTTTATAAGGTTCACTTGACTACACAATTATCAGTGTATTTTAAGATCGAGAATTTCCATAGATATGTAATTGTGTTTATTACCTATGTACAAACAATTGTGTAACGATATCTGTCTCAGTTAAAAAGCTTATTCATCACTATGTTTTTCTGACTTAACACCCAAGCGTTTCCAATGATATCTCCAATGGAGCGGATGTTTTCGTCCCTATCGGTCAGTACATAAAAACAGAACTACTTCTGTAATTTATCAGTAGTTCTTCTTCATCACAGTCGCTCACGCGAATTTTTCTTCTCTGTTTTTGGACATACAAGTATAAAATACAGATTTTCACTTTCTCTCTGAAATTGGGGTTGATTAGAAAAAAAACCCTGCTATGTTGGATAATTGACCGTGTATTTCTCTAATAATTTGATTTTTTTCCAAACTCCGAATCTCTCCAACACTACGCCCCAATTTGACAACATGAAAGGAATTAGGTAACATGTAAAAAAACCATTGTGATATCTGTCTCAATTAAAAAGCTTATCAATCAATATTTTTTCTAACTTAGTAGTTACTTAGCCGAGTTCCATGCCATTAGATAAGTTTTTTAAGACATTTTTATGTTTTCGTGATTTTTCCTCATATTTTCTTGCAAATTAACGACTTTTTATATATGTATAGGTTTGTGTATTTCTAAATATATATCTTATTGTGTTCTCGCAACATAGATATTAAAATATTCATGTGTCACCGCTTTCAATACATTGTCATATGTATAAAGCTTTCAGCTGATATGGATACCAATGATGTTGGCACTTATTGATCCGAATATCTCATTAGTCCAGAGTGTAGCAGTCTAAAGCACGAGTCGGTAATTAAGAAGCAATTGACTTTAAGATTCATGATCCGTTTTCATTTTATGTCAACACTTTAACAGATACGAATGTCAACAACATATCTAGATACGAAGGCATGGCGAATTAATTTCACATGAAGTATTATCTGAATAATAAAACTCAATGATAATGTTAGGGTAGTCGGTGGGTTAAGCTTATTGTTGGAAATCACGGTGTAATGAAACGGAAATGAAAAGACGAGAATTCATAAATATATTATTAAAATGTATGGGTACGTATTATCAATGGAATCCTGGATGTTCTGTCTGTTTACTTTGTAAAGGGTTTAAATATTTCTAACAAAGCTTTCCTTTCATTCTGGATATAGAATTATTCGAAAACAAGACAGTGTTTGCTCGCTGTAATACCTATAGAGCACGACAGATATTTAGCACAGTCTTATAGTCTTGAAGGAGGGACTTGCTACGTAACGTAGCTTATTTTAGAGGGAGGAAGGAACACATGCAAGCACACTGATACAAGTGAGTATACAAATCTTAGGCTAATAAGTATAGATGTTGAAGTAGAGACAGGAAAATGGAGAAAAAACGTCAAATACATCTTTAGAAAAATGGATGAAGCAAGGGACAGTGTCGGGTTATAGTATTGTTCAGTAGTACGCACCTGGTTGTTAGAGAAATGGTTTATCACAGATAAGTTACAGAAAAAGTGTTTTAAAATGAAACATCGTAGTAAAGCTGGATAAAATATTATAGTTGAATTATCGCTAGCGAAAAAACTTTTAAAATCATGGAAATAAAAATGAAACTTCAGTAAGTCCTTAAATTCTAGCAAATTATGATAAATAAATCAAAATGTTCATTTTAGAAAACATCTTACACGTTACCATGTTTCCTGACAAACTGTTGTATTTTTCTTCTGACCCCGTGAAAACATTTCAAATTAATTTGTAGATATAACCATATATTACATACTATATATCGAAATGTTGTTGATACATATTGATGATGATGATGATGGAATCTCACGCCCCTTTCACATCATTCACTTCGCTTGTAATTGGAAATCTTCGCGTTGCTGTTTTCAGGTAGCGATAGACCATTGTGAAATCGATGTCGACTTAATTGCAGTTATAGCTTTTTTCCTCCCCGTACCGACTCTTTATCAATTATCTTCAATTGATATAGGGTTCGATCCAATGATAATGTCTGCCTTGTAATCAGCTAATTGACTAAGTGTTGCTGATATTTTAGCATCACGTAATGTGTATGTTCACGTTACTTTTAGTTTTTTGGGTCCTTCAATTGAAGATCGGGATGATAACA